TGATCACGCAGTATGAATGGGACGACGAGTTGTCTAGTAGTAGTTAATTTATGATTAGTGACATGCCGTTTGTATAGAACACCGTCAATTAATTCAAGCTGAGTCCATAAGAGCCATAGATTCCTGACGATTGGGCTTTTGTCATGAACTAAGGCTCGATTAGGTCTTTCAGGAGACTCCGAAATCCATTTGTAGATTATGCCGACGTCGGGGTCGTCACGTTGCATTGTCAACAAAGTTTCTCGGTCAAAATTATCACGCAGGACTTCCCGCTGCCCAGAGTTTCCTCCAGCGATGGCACCTGTGTCCGAGGCGCAGGGCAGGTTATCACTCGCTCTGACATTAACCGATGAATGTTTAGTTCTCGACTTCAATCTCGATGTCGACGCATTTCTCACTACTGAAACTCTAAGTGGGGATGGCCAATTCCCTCTCTTCATTACATCAAATCCATCTCTCACATAACGTAATCCTCTAAGCTCTAAAACAACAATATATAAGATAAAATCCAAAACAATCCTCGGAAGTCGACAAAACATCTTAACCACGAATACGACTACGACTAATATCATGGTGACGATATTAGAGAGTCGACTTGAATGGCTCGAGTCCTCTGGTTTCAATGGCGGCGTCTGGTCGCTGTAGTCACTTACTGATTTCAAGCGTGTTTGCTGCACTCTCATATGGGTAACGGGAACAACATCGTCGTCCTCGTCGAAGAACTGTGACCAGGCCTTGTGCCGCTTCACACATGTTGTACATCCACCGCATGGCAATTGTTCAATGATAGATTCTTTGTCATAACAGTCACATGATTCTGGATCACATGGTATTCGAGACATTGCGTCTGCATTACCATGATTCCTGCCAGCACGATGTTCGATGTCAAAGTCGAACTGGCTGAGAATCTCGATCCACCGGGCAAGCTGATCTGTAGGTTCGCGAAATGACATAATCCATCTAAGGGAAGAATGATCTGTGCGCACAAGAAATTTCCTCCCAAGTAGGTAATGTCGAAAATGACGAACAAACGAGACGATTGCCAACAATTCCCGTCGTGTAGTGCAATATCGGCGTTGAGTTTTGGTCAATGTCCGGCTAGCAAAAGCGACTGGTCTCTCAACTTCTCGTTGGGTGACGTCATCCCACTGGATTTGAGATAAGACCGCGCCTATTCCCGAAGAAGATGCGTCGGCATCAAGAATGAACATGCCGTGGTCATCGGGGTAGGCCATGACGTTGTCGCTAACCAGTACGTTTTTCAATTGTTCCAAGGCTGATTTACAGTCGTCATTCCATTCGAATTTACTAGATTTTTCAAGTAGCCTGTTCAAAGGAGCCGCAATTGTCGAAAATCCACGGATGAACCGGCGATAGTAGGAGCAAAAACCAAGGAAAGAACGGACATCGCTTATCGATGTCGGTGTCGGCCAGTTCCGCACTTGTTCAACCTTTCCCGGGTCAGGCCTGATGCCAGCCGCGCTGACGACATGTCCAAGGTAAGATACTTCAGTTTGGAAGAGATGACACTTACTTGGCTTTAGCTTAAGTCCTGCTTGTCCAAGGCGCCCGAGAACCTCGTCGAGACGGTTGATGTGCTCCCCAATAGTCGAGCTCATAACAATGATGTCGTCAAGATATAAAATCAAGGTTCGCCACTGAAGACCTTTCATGATGAGTTCCATTGCACGCTCGAATGTGCCAGGAGCATTGCATAGTCCAAATGGCATCGTGACATATTCGTAGTGTCCAGTCTGTGTACTAAATGCTGTTTTGTGACGATCCTCCTCTTTAATGTCTATCTGCCAGTAACCTGACTGTAAGTCTAAAGTTGAGAAGATTTGTGCACCTCCTAAGCAATCTAGGCAGTCTTCTATGCGAGGTAGTGGATAGGCATCCTTTCTTGTGACGTCATTTAGTTTTCGGTAGTCAACGCAGGGCCGGGTCGTGCCGTCACGCTTCTTGACATACACAAGCGGGCTCGACCAAGCACTCGTTGATTCTCGAATGATGCCCATTTGCAGTTGTGTCTCGATTATTTTCTCCTCCTCATCTATGAATGCTCGAGGTGGGCGACGGGGTCGCTGCTTGATTGGAGCTGCATCTCCAGTGTCAATGCTGTGCTGAACAATGGAGGTTCGTCCAATATCAGTAGAAGAAGATGCAATTGTAGATGAATGTTTATCCAGCAAGGCAAATAACTGATCCTGTGTATGCGGGTCTAATCCTTCACATGATTTCTGATATAATGTCTGTAAGTCATCTGGCCAGCTCTTTTGCGAAACCTCTTTATTCGAATCAGCCTTTACTGTGCGAATGCTGGGGTTTGAACTCTTGATTACATCATTATTACACATATCACATACATCACTGATTAATTCCATTGAACCTATTCGCATTCCAGCATGAAGATTAATTTCTTCACTTGATGTGTTAACGACTCGCACTGGTATGTCAATATCATTCCGAGTTACATCGATGAGACATCCCGCGACATGAAGATTCTTTATATTCCACTCATGAGCGGTTTGCTCAATAATAGCACATGCTTGGGAATCAATATCACAATTATCTATCTTCCCTGGTACAATGAACTCACATCTGGGCGGCACCACAACATCATATTTCACATAAACTGCACTTCTAATAGAATTACAGTCCTGAAGTTCGATTGGAATCAAAATATTATCAATATGAAGCCCACGTCTGGCCTCGAGGGTACAATTAAAATGGTGCATAAAATCAAAGCCAATCAGACCTTCATCACTTATATCTGCAATGTATGCATTCCATTCAAAATCTTTAGAACCAACATTCACAGTTGCTCCAATAATTCCATGTACATTTAGAATTCCTTTATCCGCTGACTGGAGCTGAACATGATCCGACAAGGGGATTAATTTTGGGCGAGTTTCGGTGGGCATTTGTTCATACAGTTTTATCGACATAACTGTCACTGCTGCCCCAGAATCGACCAAAAGTTTGCACGAGGCCCCATTCACATTACCTGTAATATACGCTGTCAGTCCGTTCGATTCATCAATGCGAATTATTCGGGGGCCCGATTTAACTCCATGGCCGGCCTCGACCTGGTCGATGAGGTCGGCCCTGTTTAGTTTCCCGAAGTATTGTCCATGGCTGGTTCTGCTGCCCGTTGTTGCTGCGGTGGCTGCGGCTGGAATGGTACGTGTGGCTGCCATTGCCGGGGTGGTGGGAATTGTTGCTGCGGCGGTTGCGTCCTCTGACGTCGCTGACACCGATCGGATTTGTCGAGCTCCTCTGCCGGATTCCTCTTGGAGATGGTGAAATCGCTCAGCAATCTCCCGAGCTTCTTGGAGAGTCGCTGGCTCTCGCATCCCTATAGCCATAGCCATAGAGCTATCACCAAGCCCTCGAAGAAAATGGCGGGTCCCGATCATCTCCCTTGTTGCAGCATCCGCCGTCGGGTAGCCAAATGTCGTGAGGCGGCGAATATCTGCAGCATAGTCAGCAATTGATTCCCTCTGACCAAGACGACGTAATTCTAGCTGCGACACAAACGTAGAAGGCGTCTTTCGTGCAGCAAAACGATGCTCGAGCGCAGATATCAAATTCCCGAAGTCAGCGATGTCGTCTGGGGCGAGCTGCTGGAAGACAAAATCGGCTGCATCACCTCGGAGACAGGCGAGAAGACGAACACGCTGCTCCGACTCCTCCCAGCCACAAGTAGCCGCGAGGTTTCTGAAAGACGATACAAAACTCTCCCATGATCGTCCAGTACCATTATACGGCTCTTGGGGTGGTAATTGGACTTTCACTCCAGTGTGAATGGACACCTCATTTTCATCTCTCCATTCAGTATTTTCACTAGCATCATTGTCATTGTCGATATCATTCGGCTCGCCGATTTGTTTCTTGGCGATGCTGAGTTCTGCCTTTAACTCCCTGATCTCTCTCTCAAGATCGGCTTTTCGCTTCCTCGGAGACATTGTATCGTATTTAAAGCACGTGTTAAAGTCTGTATCCCACTTCTGACACCAGTGTAACGGCGACTTATATTGTTCGACAATATAGGAAGTAAAAGTCCCAAAATATAGCCCCGTTGTATGTTGAAGGTTAGTTGTTAGGGATGGCCGAGATTCGGGGAGAATAAACACTCGAGAGGCAGGAATTACAGTTGAAGAGTTTATTACAGCAAACCCAAACACATTTACAAGGATGGATAAAAGAGAATGTCTTGCGAATCAGAGAGGCAAAATAATGCAGCAGGCGTTAGAACAGGCTAAAAAGATAGACTAACATGACTGGAGACCATTTCTGAACTGGTTGGCTCTCTATCCCATTCGTAAAGTACTCTCGCTTCAAACACTGTGATGACAGGCTTGTCACACTAACTGACACAATTAACTCTCGACAGCTCACTAGTTTCACTCTTCACTGACAGATTCTTCGCTCCTAACTGCCTAAGATACGAATGCAGTCTGTCTTATATACCCTTCGAGAGAGATGGAGAAAGACCAGTCATGTAAGTCACAAGTATCGCGCTGCGGAGTATTTAGGAGAAGGGCGTCATTGAGCACATAAATAGAGAGCTCAAAGTCATATTGAGAGAGAGGATACAAGGACAGGAGAAAGTCAAGACAAGAAGCAAGCTGAAAGGGCTGAAGGACAGTGCAAGGTTGAAATGAGAGTTTCGGGCAAACAAGAGAGAAGGGAAAGAGCGAGAGCTCTGAAAGTCAGGAAAAGTCAAAGTGAGAAGGGACAGAGTGAAAGTTCTGAAAGTCAGGCAAAGTCAAAGTGAGAAGGGAGAGAATGAAAGTTCTGAAAGTGAATGCAAGGTCAAAGTGAGGAGAGAATAGAACTCCGCTGTAGGCAAAGCAATTGGGATCGAGCTGGCTGGATTTGTAATAGCGTTATTATAGCAAGACATCCTTAACACAGACTGGTACAATAATCATGGATAGTTGTAAAGTAGACTAAAGCATGGAATAAAATATATACATAATATTACATCAAATATCTTAACCAAACTGCGTGACAATATCAACGTCCGACGATGAATTTAGTCCCAAATCCGTCGTGGAAGTGATATCTGAACAATTCAGAGTAGGTGCTTCGTCATCTGTAAAAGGAAACAAAAGTAAAGCGGCGTTTTAAAGGAAATGACGTAGAAAACTTAAAGAGCAAGACATGTTTATTCTCTGTCACCTTTTTCTCCAAAGTTGGAAAGGATATTTAGTTTTTAGAGGAACTTATATAGTTTTACCTGTGACTGTAACTAAGAAAGTGCAATTGCCAGTGTTTTCAGCGTTATCTGTAGACGAGCAGGTTACAGTTGTGATGCCGATCAGGAATTCATGGTCAGATGAATGGGAACAAGTCACATTGGGATCTGCATCAGCATTGTCAGTTGCATATGGCATTATATCAACGTGCGACGATGAATTTAGTCCAAAATCCGTCGTGGAAGTGATATCTGAACAATTCAGAGTAGGTGCTTCGTCATCTGTAAAAGGAAACAAAAGTAAAGCGGCGTTTTAAAGGAAATGATGTAGCAAACTTAAAGAGCAAGACATGTTTATTCTCTGTCACCTTTTTCTCCAAAGTTGGAAAGGATATTTAGTTTTTAGAGGAACTTATATAGTATTACCTGTAACTGTAACTAAGAAAGTGCAATTGCCAGTGTTTTCAGCGTTATCTGTAGACGAGCAGGTTACAATTGTGATGCCGATCAGGAATTCATGGTCAGACGAATGGGAACATGTCACATTGGGATCTGCATCAGCATTGTCAGTTGCATATGGCATGATATCAACGTCCGACGATGAATTTAGTCCCAAATCCGTCGTGGAAGTGATATCTGAACAATTCAGAGTAGGTGCTTCGTCATCTGTAAAAACAAACAAAAGTAAAGCGGCGTTTTAAAGGAAATGATGTAGCAAACTTAAAGAGCAACACATGTTTATTATCTGTCACCTTTTTTTTGCCAAAGTTGGAAAGGATATTTAGTTTTTAAAGAACTTATATAGTTTTACCTGTGACTGTAACTAAGAAAGTGCAATTGCCAGTGTTTTCAGCGTTATCTGTAGACGAGCAGTTTACAGTTGTGATGCCGATCAGGAATTCATGTTTAGATGAATAGGAACAAGTCACATTAGAATCTGTATCAACATTGTCAGTTGCATATGGCATGATATCAACGTCCGACGATGAATTTAGTCCCAAATCCGTCGTGGAAGTGATATCTGAACAATTCAGAGTAGGTGCTTCGTCATCTGTAAAAGGAAACAAAAGTAAAGCGGCGTTTTAAAGGAAATGACGTAGAAAACTTAAAGAGCAAGACATGTTTATTCTCTGTCACCTTTTTCTCCAAAGTTGGAAAGGATATTTAGTTTTTAGAGGAACTTATATAGTTTTACCTGTGACTGTAACTAAGAAAGTGCAATTGCCAGTGTTTTCAGCGTTATCTGTAGACGAGCAGGTTACAGTTGTGATGCCGATCAGGAATTCATGGTCAGATGAATGGGAACAAGTCACATTGGGATCTGCATCAGCATTGTCAGTTGCATATGGCATGATATCAACGTGCGACGATGAATTTAGTCCCAAATCCGTCGTGGAAGTGATATCTGAACAATTTAGAGTAGGTGCTTCGTCATCTGTAAAAGGAAACAAAAGTAAAGCGGCGTTTTAAAGGAAATGATGTAGCAAACTTAAAGAGCAACACATGTTTATTCTCATTCACCTTTTTACCAAAGTAGGAAAGGATATTTAGTTTTTAAAGAACTTATATAGTTTTACCTGTGACTGTAACTAAGAAAGTGCAATTGCCAGTGTTTTCAGCGTTATCTGTAGACAAGCAGTTTACAGTTGTGATGCCGATCAGGAATTCATGTTTAGATGAATGGGAACAAGTCACATTAGGATCTGTATCAACATTGTCAGTTGCATATGGCATGATATCAACGTCCGACGATGAATTTAGTCCCAAATCCGTCGTGGAAGTGATATCTGAACAATTTAGAGTAGGTGCTTCGTCATCTGTAAAAGGAAACAAAAGTAAAGCGGCGTTTTAAAGGAAATGACGTAGAAAACTTGAAGAGCAAGACATGTTTATTCTCTGTCACCTTTTTCTCCAAAGTTGGAAAGGATATTTAGTTTTTAAAAGAACTTATATAGTAGTACATGTGACTGTAACTAAGAAAGTGCAATTGCCAGTGTTTTCAGCGTTATCTGTAGACGAGCAGTTTACAGTTGTGATGCCGATCAGGAATTCATGTTTAGATGAATGGGAACAAGTCACGTTGGGATCTGTATCAACATTGTCAGTTGCATATGGCATGATATCAACGTCGGCGTTTTAAAGAAAATGACGTAGAGAACTTGAAGAGCAACACATGTTTATTCTCTGTCACCTTTTTCTCCAAAGTTGGAAAGGATATTTAGTTTTTAAAAGAACTTATATAGTAATACCTGTGACTGTAACTAAGAAAGTGCAATTGCCAGTGTTTTCAGCGTTATCTGTAGACGAGCAGGTTACAGTTGTAATGCCGATCAGGAATTCATGGTCAGATGAATGGGAACAAGTCACATTGGGATCTGCATCAGCATTGTCAGTTGCATATGGCATGATATCAACGTGCGACGATGAATTTAGTCCCAAATCCGTCGTGGAAGTGATATCGGAACAATTCAGAGTAGGTGCTTCGTCATCTGTAAAAGGAAACAAAAGTAAAGCGGCGTTTTAAAGGAAATGATGTAGAAAACTTGAAGAGCAAGACATGTTTATTCTCTGTCACCTTTTTTTACCAAAGTTGGAAAGGATATTTAGTTTTTAAAGAACTTATATAGTTTTACATGTGACTGTTACTAAGAAAGTGCAATTGCCAGTGTTTTCAGCGTTATCTGTAGACGAGCAGTTTACAGTTGTGATGCCGATCAGGAATTCATGTTTAGATGAATGGGAACAAGTCACGTTGGGATCTGTATCAACATTGTCAGTTGCATATGGCATGATATCAACGTCGGCGTTTTAAAGAAAATGACGTAGAGAACTTGAAGAGCAACACATGTTTATTCTCTGTCACCTTTTTCTCCAAAGTTGGAAAGGATATTTAGTTTTTAAAAGAACTTATATAGTAATACCTGTGACTGTAACTAAGAAAGTGCAATTGCCAGTGTTTTCAGCGTTATCTGTAGACGAGCAGGTTACAGTTGTAATGCCGATCAGGAATTCATGTTTAGATGAATGGGAACAAGTAACATTGGGATCTGCATCAGCATTGTCAGTTGCATATGGCATGATATCAACGTCCGACGATGAATTTAGTCCCAAATCCGTCGTGGAAGTGATATCTGAACAATTCAGAGTAGGTGCTTCGTCATCTGTAAAAGGAAACAAAAGTAAAGTGGCGTTTTAAAGGAAATGACGTAGAAAACTTGAAGAGCAACACATGTTTATTGTCTGTCACCTTTTATTTTTACCAAAGTTGGAAAGGATATTTAGTTTTTAAAGGAACTTATATAGTTTTACCTGTGACTGTAACTAAGAAAGTGCAATTGCCAGTGTTTTCAGCGTTATCTGTAGACGAGCAGGTTACAATTGTGATGCCGATCAGGAATTCATGGTCAGACGAATGGGAACATGTCACATTGGGATCTGCATCAGCATTGTCAGTTGCATATGGCATGATATCAACGTCCGATGATGAATTTAGTCCCAAATCCGTCGTGGGAGTAATATCTGAACAATTTAGAGTAGGTGCTTCGTCATCTATAAAAGGAAACAAAAGAAAAGCGGCGTTTTAAAGGAAATGATGTAGCAAACTTGAAGAGCAAGACATGTTTGTTCTCTGTCACCTTTTTACCAAATTTGGAAAGGATATTTAGTTTTTAAAGAACTTATATAGTTTTACCTGTGACTGTAACTAAGAAAGTGCAATTGCCAGTGTTTTCAGCATTATCTGTAGACGAGCAGTTTACAGTTGTGATGCCGATCAGGAATTAATGTTTAGATGAATGGGAACAAGTCACATTAGGATCTGTATCAACATTGTCAGTTGCATATGGCATGATATCAACGCCGGCGTTTTAAAGAAAATGACGTAGAGAACTTGAAGAGCAACACATGTTTATTCTCTGTCACCTTTTTCTCCAAAGTTGGAAAGGATATTTAGATTTTAAAAGAACGTATATAGTAATACCTGTGACTATAACTAATAAAGTGCAATTGCCAGTGTTTTCAGCGTTATCTGTAGACGAGCAGGTTACAGTTGTGATGCCGATCAGGAATTCATGTTTAGATGAATGGGAACAAGTCACATTGGGATCTGTATCAACATTGTCAGTTGCATATGGCATGATATCAACGTCCGACGATGAATTTAGTCCCAAATCCGTCGTGGAAGTGATATCTGAACAATTCAGAGTAGGTGATTCGTCATCTGTAAAAACAAACAAAAGTAAAGAGGCGTTTTAAAGGAAATGATGTAGCAAACTTAAAGAGCAACATATGTTTATTATCTGTCACCTTTTTTTACCAAAGTTTGAAAGGATATTTAGTTTTTAAAGAACTTATATAGTTTTACCTGTGACTGTAACTAAGAAAGTGCAATTGCCAGTGTTTTCAGCATTATCTGTACACGAACAGTTTACAGTTGTGATGCCGATCAGGAATTTATGTTTAGATGAATGGGAACAAGTAACATTGGGATCTGCATCAGCATTGTCAGTTGCATATGGCATGATATCAACGCCGGCGTTTTAAAGAAAATGACGTAGAGAACTTGAAGAGCAACACATGTTTATTCTCTGTCACCTTTTTCTTCAAAGTTGGAAAGGATATTTAGTTTTTAAAAGAACGTATATAGTAATACCTTTGACTGTAACTAAGAAAGTGCAATTGCCAGTGTTTTCAGCGTTATATGTAGACGAGCAGGTTACAGTTGTGATGCCGATCAGGAATTCATGTTTAGATGAATGGGAACAAGTCACATTGGGATCTGTATCAACATTGTCAGTTGCATATGGCATGATATCAACGCCGGCGTTTTAAAGAAAATGACGTAGAGAACTTGAAGAGCAACACATGTTTATTCTCTGTCACCTTTTTCTCCAAAGTTGGAAAGGATATTTAGATTTTAAAAGAACGTATATAGTAATACCTGTGACTATAACTAATAAAGTGCAATTGCCAGTGTTTTCAGCGTTATCTGTAGACGAGCAGGTTACAGTTGTGATGCCGATCAGGAATTCATGTTTAGATGAATGGGAACAAGTCACATTGGGATCTGTATCAACATTGTCAGTTGCATATGGCATGATATCAACGTCCGACGATGAATTTAGTCCCAAATCCGTCGTGGAAGTGATATCTGAACAATTCAGAGTAGGTGATTCGTCATCTGTAAAAACAAACAAAAGTAAAGAGGCGTTTTAAAGGAAATGATGTAGCAAACTTAAAGAGCAACATATGTTTATTATCTGTCACCTTTTTTTACCAAAGTTTGAAAGGATATTTAGTTTTTAAAGAACTTATATAGTTTTACCTGTGACTGTAACTAAGAAAGTGCAATTGCCAGTGTTTTCAGCATTATCTGTACACGAACAGTTTACAGTTGTGATGCCGATCAGGAATTTATGTGTAGATGAATGGGAACAAGTAACATTGGGATCTGCATCAGCATTGTCAGTTGCATATGGCATGATATCAACGCCGGCGTTTTAAAGAAAATGACGTAGAGAACTTGAAGAGCAACACATGTTTATTCTCTGTCACCTTTTTCTTCAAAGTTGGAAAGGATATTTAGTTTTTAAAAGAACGTATATAGTAATACCTTTGACTGTAACTAAGAAAGTGCAATTGCCAGTGTTTTCAGCGTTATATGTAGACGAGCAGGTTACAGTTGTGATGCCGATCAGGAATTCATGTTTAGATGAATGGGAACAAGTCACATTGGGATCTGTATCAACATTGTCAGTTGCATATGGCATGATATCAACGCCGGCGTTTTAAAGAAAATGACGTAGAGAACTTGAAGAGCAACACATGTTTATTCTCTGTCACCTTTTTCTCCAAAGTTGGAAAGGATATTTAGATTTTAAAAGAACGTATATAGTAATACCTGTGACTATAACTAAGAAAGTGCAATTGCCAGTGTTTTCAGCGTTATCTGTAGACGAGCAGGTTACAGTTGTGATGCCGATCAGGAATTCATGTTTAGATGAATGGGAACAAGTCACATTGGGATCTGTATCAACATTGTCAGTTGCATATGGCATGATATCAACGTCCGACGATGAATTTAGTCCCAAATCCGTCGTGGAAGTGATATCTGAACAATTCAGAGTAGGTGATTCGTCATCTGTAAAAACAAACAAAAGTAAAGAGGCGTTTTAAAGGAAATGATGTAGCATACTTAAAGAGCAACATATGTTTATTATCTGTCACCTTTTTTTACCAAAGTTTGAAAGGATATTTAGTTTTTAAAGAACTTATATAGTTTTACCTGTAACTTTAACTAAGAAAGTGCAATTGCCAGTGTTTTCAGCGTTATCTGTAGACGAGCAGGTTACAGTTGTGATGCCGATCAGGAATTCATGTTTAGATGAATGGGAACAAGTAACATTGGGATCTGCATCAGCATTGTCAGTTGCATATGGCATGACATCAACGTCCGACGATGAATTTAGTCCCAAATCCGTCGTGGAAGTGATATCTGAACAATTTAGAGTAGGTGCTTCGTCATCTGTAAAAGGAAACAAAAGAAAAGCGGCGTTTTAAAGGAAATGATGTAGCAAACTTGAAGAGCAAGACATGTTTATTCTCTGTCACCTTTTTACCAAATTTGGAAAGGATATTTAGTTTTTAAAGAACTTATATAGTTTTACCTGTGACTGTAACTAAGAAAGTGCAATTGCCAGTGTTTTCAGCATTATCTGTACACGAACAGTTTACAGTTGTGATGCCGATCAGGAATTTATGTTTAGATGAATGGGAACAAGTAACATTGGGATCTGCATCAGCATTGTCAGTTGCATATGGCATGATATCAACGCCGGCGTTTTAAAGAAAATGACGTAGAGAACTTGAAGAGCAACACATGTTTATTCTCTGTCACCTTTTTCTTCAAAGTTGGAAAGGATATTTAGTTTTTAAAAGAACGTATATAGTAATACCTTTGACTGTAACTAAGAAAGTGCAATTGCCAGTGTTTTCAGCGTTATCTGTAGACGAGCAGGTTACAGTTGTGATGCCGATCAGGAATTTATGTTTAGATGAATGGGAACAAGTCACATTGGGATCTGTATCAACATTGTCAGTTGGATATGGCATGATATCAACGTCCGACGATGAATTTAGTCCCAAATCCGTCGTGGAAGTGATATCTGAACAATTTAGAGTAGGTGCTTCGTCATCTGTAAAAGGAAACAAAAGTAAAGTGGCGTTTTAAAGGAAATGACGTAGAAAACTTAAAGAGCAACACATGTTTATTCTCTGTCACCTTTTTTTTAACCAAAGTTGGAAAGGATATTTAGTTTTTAAAGTACTTATATAGTTTTACCTGTGACTGTAACTAACAAAGTGCAATTGCCAGTGTTTTCAGCGTTATCTGTAGACGAGCAGTTTACAGTTGTGATGCCGATCAGGAAGTCATGTTTAGATGAATGGGAACAAGTCACATTTGGATCTGTATCAACATTGTCAGTTGCATATGGCATGATATCAACGTCCGACGATGAATTTAGTCCCAAATCCGTCGTGGAAGTGATATCTGAACAAGTCAGAGTAGGTGCTTCGTCATCTGTAAAAGGAAACAAAAGTAAAGCGGCGTTTTAAAGGAAATGATGTAGCAAACTTGAAGAGCAACACATGTTTATTCTCTGTCACCTTTTTTTTACCAAAGTTGGAAAGGATATTTAGTTTTTAAAGGAACTTATATAGTATTACCTGTGACTGTAACTAAGAAAGTGCAATTGCCAGTGTTTTCAGCGTTATCTGTAGACGAGCAGGTTACAGTTGTGATGCCGATCAGGAATTCATGTTTAGATGAATGGGAACAAGTAACATTGGGATCTGCATCAGCATTGTCAGTTGCATATGGCATGACATCAACGTCCGACGATGAATTTAGTCCCAAATCCGTCGTGGAAGTGATATCGGAACAATTCAGAGTAGGTGCTTCGTCATCTGTTAAAGGAAACAAAAGTAAAGCGGGGTTTTAAAGGAAATGATGAAGCAAACTTGAAGAGCCACACATGTTTATTCTCTGTCACCTTTTTCTCCAAAGTTGGAAAGGATATTTAGTTTTTAAAGAACTTATATAGTTTTACCTGTGACTGTAACTAAGAAAGTGCAATTGCCAGTGTTTTCAGCGTTATCTGTACACGAGCAGTTTACAGTTGTGATGCCGATCAGGAATTCATGTTTAGATGAATGGGAACAAGTCACGTTGGGATCTGTATCAACATTGTCAGTTGCATATGGCATGATATCAACGTCGGCGTTTTAAAGAAAATGACGTAGAGAACTTGAAGAGCAACACATGTTTATTCTCTGTCACCTTTTTCTCCAAAGTTGGAAAGGATATTTAGTTTTTAAAAGAACTTATATAGTAATACCTGTGACTGTAACTAAGAAAGTGCAATTGCCAGTGTTTTCAGCGTTATCTGTAGACGAGCAGGTTAGAGTTGTAATGCCGATCAGGAATTCATGTTTAGATGAATGGGAACAAGTAACATTGGGATCTGCATCAGCATTGTCAGTTGCATATGGCATGATATCAACGTCCGACGATGAATTTAGTCCCAAATCCGTCGTGGAAGTGATATCTGAACAATTCAGAGTAGGTGCTTCGTCATCTGTAAAAGGAAACAAAAGTAAAGTGGCGTTTTAAAGGAAATGACGTAGAAAACTTGAAGAGCAACACATGTTTATTGTCTGTCACCTTTTATTTTTACCAAAGTTGGAAAGGATATTTAGTTTTTAAAGGAACTTATATAGTTTTACCTGTGACTGTAACTAAGAAAGTGCAATTGCCAGTGTTTTCAGCGTTATCTGTAGACGAGCAGGTTACAATTGTGATGCCGATCAGGAATTCATGGTCAGACGAATGGGAACATGTCACATTGGGATCTGCATCAGCATTGTCAGTTGCATATGGCATGATATCAACGTCCGATGATGAATTTAGTCCCAAATCCGTCGTGGGAGTAATATCTGAACAATTTAGAGTAGGTGCTTCGTCATCTATAAAAGGAAACAAAAGAAAAGCGGCGTTTTAAAGGAAATGATGTAGCAAACTTGAAGAGCAAGACATGTTTATTCTCTGTCACCTTTTTACCAAATTTGGAAAGGATATTTAGTTTTTAAAGAACTTATATAGTTTTACCTGTGACTGTAACTAAGAAAGTGCAATTGCCAGTGTTTTCAGCATTATCTGTACACGAACAGTTTACAGTTGTGATGCCGATCAGGAATTTATGTTTAGATGAATGGGAACAAGTCACATTAGGATCTGTATCAACATTGTCAGTTGCATATGGCATGATATCAACGCCGGCGTTTTAAAGAAAATGACGTAGAGAACTTGAAGAGCAACACATGTTTATTCTCTGTCACCTTTTTCTCCAAAGTTGGAAAGGATATTTAGATTTTAAAAGAACGTATATAGTAATACCTGTGACTATAACTAAGAAAGTGCAATTGCCAGTGTTTTCAGCGTTATCTGTAGACGAGCAGGTTACAGTTGTGATGCCGATCAGGAATTCATGTTTAGATGAATGGGAACAAGTCACATTGGGATCTGTATCAACATTGTCAGTTGCATATGGCATGATATCAACGTCCGACGATGAATTTAGTCCCAAATCCGTCGTGGAAGTGATATCTGAACAATTCAGAGTAGGTGATTCGTCATCTGTAAAAACAAACAAAAGTAAAGAGGCGTTTTAAAGGAAATGATGTAGCAAACTTAAAGAGCAACATATGTTTATTATCTGTCACCTTTTTTTACCAAAGTTTGAAAGGATATTTAGTTTTTAAAGAACTTATATAGTTTTACCTGTGACTGTAACTAAGAAAGTGCAATTGCCAGTGTTTTCAGCATTATCTGTACACGAACAGTTTACAGTTGTGATGCCGATCAGGAATTTATGTTTAGATGAATGGGAACAAGTAACATTGGGATCTGCATCAGCATTGTCAGTTGCATATGGCATGATATCAACGCCGGCGTTTTAAAGAAAATGACGTAGAGAACTTGAAGAGCAACACATGTTTATTCTCTGTCACCTTTTTCTTCAAAGTTGGAAAGGATATTTAGTTTTTAAAAGAACGTATATAGTAATACCTTTGACTGTAACTAAGAAAGTGCAATTGCCAGTGTTTTCAGCGTTATCTGTAGACGAGCAGGTTACAGTTGTGATGCCGATCAGGAATTCATGTTTAGATGAATGGGAACAAGTCACATTGGGATCTGTATCAACATTGTCAGTTGCATATGGCATGATATCAACGCCGGCGTAATAAAGAAAATGACGTAGAGAACTTGAAGAGCAACACATGTTTATTCTCTGTCACCTTTTTCTCCAAAGTTGGAAAGGATATTTAGATTTTAAAAGAACGTATATAGTAATACCTGTGACTATAACTAAGAAAGTGCAATTGCCAGTGTTTTCAGCGTTATCTGTAGACGAGCAGGTTACAGTTGTGATGCCGATCAGGAATTCATGTTTAGATGAATGGGAACAAGTCACATTGGGATCTGTATCAACATTGTCAGTTGCATATGGCATGATATCAACGTCCGACGATGAATTTAGTCCCAAATCCGTCGTGGAAGTGATATCTGAACAATTCAGAGTAGGTGATTCGTCATCTGTAAAAACAAACAAAAGTAAAGAGGCGTTTTAAAGGAAATGATGTAGCAAACTTAAAGAGCAACATATGTTTATTATCTGTCACCTTTTTTTACCAAAGTTTGAAAGGATATTTAGTTTTTAAAGAACTTATATAGTTTTACCTGTAACTTTAACTAAGAAAGTGCAATTGCCAGTGTTTTCAGCGTTATCTGTAGACGAGCAGGTTACAGTTGTGATGCCGATCAGGAAGTCATGTTTAGATGAATGGGAACAAGTAACATTGGGATCTGCATCAGCATTGTCAGTTGCATATGGCATGACATCAACGTCCGACGATGAATTTAGTCCCAAATCCGTCGTGGAAGTGATATCTGAACAATTTAGAGTAGGTGCTTCGTCATCTGTAAAAGGAAACAAAAGAAAAGCGGCGTTTTAAAGGAAATGATGTAGCAAACTTGAAGAGCAAGACATGTTTATTCTCTGTCACCTTTTTACCAAATTTGGAAAGGATATTTAGTTTTTAAAGAACTTATATAGTTTTACCTGTGACTGTAACTAAGAAAGTGCAATTGCCAGTGTTTTCAGCATTATCTGTACACGAACAGTTTACAGTTGTGATGCCGATCAGGAATTTATGTTTAGATGAATGGGAACAAGTAACATTGGGATCTGCATCAGCATTGTCAGTTGCATATGGCATGATATCAACGCCGGCGTTTTAAAGAAAATGACGTAGAGAACTTGAAGAGCAACACATGTTTATTCTCTGTCACCTTTTTCTTCAAAGTTGGAAAGGATATTTAGTTTTTAAAAGAACGTATATAGTAATACCTTTGACTGTAACTAAGAAAGTGCAATTGCCAGTGTTTTCAGCGTTATCTGTAGACGAGCAGGTTACAGTTGTGATGCCGATCAGGAATTTATGTTTGGATGAATGGGAACAAGTCACATTGGGATCTGTATCAACATTGTCAGTTGGATATGGCATGATATCAACGTCCGACGATGAATTTAGTCCCAAATCCGTCGTGGAAGTGATATCTGAACAATTTAGAGTAGGTGCTTCGTCATCTGTAAAAGGAAACAAAAGTAAAGTGGCGTTTTAAAGGAAATGACGTAGAAAACTTAAAGAGCAACACATGTTTATTCTCTGTCACCTTTTTTTTAACCAAAGTTGGAAAGGATATTTAGTTTTTAAAGTACTTATATAGTTTTACCTGTGACTGTAACTAACAAAGTGCAATTGCCAGTGTTTTCAGCGTTATCTGTAGACGAGCAGTTTACAGTTGTGATGCCGATCAGGAAGTCATGTTTAGATGAATGGGAACAAGTCACATTTGGATCTGTATCAACATTGTCAGTTGCATATGGCATGATATCAACGTCCGACGATGAATTTAGTCCCAAATCCGTCGTGGAAGTGATATCTGAACAAGTCAGAGTAGGTGCTTCGTCATCTGTAAAAGGAAACAAAAGTAAAGCGGCGTTTTAAAGGAAATGATGTAGCAAACTTGAAGAGCAACACATGTTTATTCTCTGTCACCTTTTTTAAACCAAAGTTGGAAAGGATATTTAGTTTTTAAAGGAACTTATATAGTATTACCTGTGACTGTAACTAAGAAAGTGCAATTGCCAGTGTTTTCAGCGTTATCTGTAGACGAGCAGGTTACAGTTGTGATGCCGATCAGGAATTCATGTTTAGATGAATGGGAACAAGTAACATTGGGATCTGCATCAGCATTGTCAGTTGCATATGGCATGACATCAACGTCCGACGATGAATTTAGTCCCAAATCCGTCGTGGAAGTGATATCTGAACAATTCAGAGTAGGTGCTTCGTCATCTGTTAAAGGAAACAAAAGTAAAGCGGGGTTTTAAAGGAAATGATGAAGCAAACTTGAAGAGCCACACATGTTTATTCTCTGTCACCTTTTTCTCCAAAGTTGGAAAGGATATTTAGTTTTTAAAGAACTTATATAGTTTTACCTGTGACTGTAACTAAGAAAGTGCAATTGCCAGTGTTTTCAGCGTTATCTGTAGACGAGCAGTTTACAGTTGTGATGCCGATCAGGAAGTCATGTTTAGATGAATGGAAACAAGTCACATTGGGATCTGTATCAACATTGTCAGTTGCATATGGCATGATATCAACGTCCGACGATGAATTTAGTCCAAAATCCGTCGTGGAAGTGATATCTGAACAATTCAGAGTAGGTGCTTCGTCATCTGTAAAAGGAAACAAAAGTAAAGCGGCGTTTTAAAGGAAATGATGTAGCAAACTTGAAGAGCAACACATGTTTATTCTCTGTCACCTTTTTTTACCAAAGTTGGAAAGGATATTTAGTTTTTAAAGTTCTCTTCACCAAGGAAAAATAGAAGGAAGGCATTGAAAGCAGTCATAATTAACTGCAATGGCCTCAAGAGTTTTACGAAACAGTCCCAATTTCAGGCCCTGATCGATCACCACAGACCTGATATCATACTTGGTTGTGAATCGAAGCTAGACGGCACCTGCCCGACATATAGCGTCTTTCCTAGCTCTTACAATGTTTTTCGAAAGGACAGAAATGAACATGGCGGAGGAGTTTTTGTAGCTGTTCACAACTCCCTCATCGTGTCAAATTGTCCAAAGTTTGACACAGACTGCGAGCTAGTATGGTGTCACCTTCAATTCACAAATGCCAAGCCTCTCTTCATTGCAAGCTATTGCCGCCCTCCTTCTGGCCGAGAACAAGGACTCGAAGAACTACGCAACTCAATTGCCACATTGATGTCTAGACACCGACGCAATCATCCAAATATTATAATCGGCGGGGACTTTAACCTACCAGATATCGATTGGAAGGAATGCATTGTTAAAAACAGCAATCGCACTAGCATCCACCAACTCCTCCTTGATATCCTGCTAGAGAACTCTCTTCTCCAGTTTGTTAATGAAGTTACCCGCCCTGCATCTGAGAATACACTTGATCTTCTTCTTGCGTCAAATCCAACACTGGTGTCCGATGTCTGTGTCCATCCAGGAATATCGGACCATAACATCGTTGCTTTTTCGATCTCGGGGAATCCAAGAACTTGCCGCATTCCGCCAAGAAAAATCTACCAATTCCACAAAGCTGATCTTCAGAAACTCCGCAAGGCTGTTGCGAAATTCTCAATGGATTTTCTATCATCTTCACCAGAGCTGAAGTCAGTTGATGAAAACTGGACCTGTATCACATCACTCATCAACAAGTGCAAGGATGAATTCATCCCATCCAAGATGTCAAGAGCCAGACGCAACTTGCCTTGGATCACCATTTCCCACAAAAGGCAAATGAGGAAGCGGGATCGTTTGTTCAAGAGGGCACGAAGTCAGCCTAGTGCATCCAATTGGAAGGCCTACAGGCAGCTTCGAAACGAACTGACCAAACGTGTCCGCCAAGCTCATCACAATTACGTCTGCAACATAATAGGTGAGAGCCTATATGCGAACCCCAAGGCTTTCTGGTCATATGTAAAACAGCGTCGATCTGAAAACTTTGGTATACCACCCTTGAGAAATGATAACAAGCTCCATATCACAAACAAGGACAAGGCTGAATGTTTGAATAATTACTTTCATTCTACCTTCACCAAGAGCAACGTGGATCAAGTTTGCATAAACCGGCCCTCCCTATACAATGACATAGGGCATCTCCACATCCACCGGTCTGGTGTAGTTAAGCAACTGCATCAACTGAATCCATCCAAAGCCAGTGGCCCAGATGAGATACATCCAAGACTTCTGAAGATGCTAGCACACGAGATAGCCCCTGCATTGTCATTTCTGTTTCAACAGAGTTACAATACCGGAGAAGTGCCTTTGGACTGGAAACGTGCACTTGTAGCCCCTATTCATAAGGCAGGAGATAAATGTTGCCCAGGTAACTACAGACCTATATCGCTGACGTGTATCTGCAGTAAGGTGATGGAACATATTATGCTTAGCCACATTTCTAAACATCTTGCAGCTAACAACATACTCATTGATGAACAGCATGGTTTCAGACAGAATCTTTCGACAACAACACAACTTGTCACAGCTACCGATGATTGGTCATCCTCTCTTCAATCTAGAGGCCAAACTGATATCGTCTTTCTCGACTTCCAAAAAGCGTTTGATCGCGTACCACATCCACACCTTAGATCCAAACTACATTACTACGGAATCAGGGGAGACTCTCTCCGCTGGACTATGTCACTCCTAGCGAATAGACATCAAGCTGTCGTCGTCAATGGTGCTCGCTCAGCATGGATGCCTGTTACTTCAGGAGTACCGCAGGGTTCTGTCATCGGCCCCGTACTTTTCCTGCTGTACATCAATGACATCAAACTCAACATCAAGTCCACAATGCGTCTATTTGCAGATGACAGTGTCATCTACCGGCGTATCGACTCTCCCTCAGACACTCATATACTGCAAGAAGATCTCCATGTTCTTGCAGACTGGTCTACTAAATGGCTGATGGGATTCAACATCAAGAAGTGTGCTTCATTGTCAATCACAAACAAGAAGCACCCCATCACAGTGGACTACACCCTACTAAATGAGTCAATTCCTCGAGTAAAACAATACAAGTATCTTGGTGTCACGATTACCCATGACCTTAAATGGAACACCCAATGTAAACTCACCACCCAGAAAGCCAATAGAACCCTTGGCCTCCTACGCAGAACTCTATCACCGTGCACCAAGAACATCAAATACAAAGCCTACACAATGCTTGTTCGTCCCCAACTTGAGTATGGCAGTGAAGCTTGGAACCCTCGGACTCTGACATCAATACAAAGTCTTGAGAAAGTACAGCGAGCTGCCGCCCGTTTTGTATACCAAGACTACCGGAGAGTAACATCAGTCACAGCACTTGTCAACAAACTGGGATGGGATACCCTTCACAATCGCAGGCTTCTTGCACAGTCCACTTTGTTTTACAAGATGCAACATCATCAACTCAACATGCCTCTTCCCACTCACATTATCCCAGCTACATATCTGGGCAGAAATGATCACCCTCTGAAGTATGCAGTACCGCCAGCTTCCATTGATAGCTTCAAGTACTCCTTCTATCCTCGCACCATCTGGACGTGGAACCACCTATCAGCTGCTGCGGTAATATCTCCAACAGTGACCATCTTCCAGGAGACTGCTCTACCCATCATCAGAGCGTTGCCTCCTCCTGTTGGGTCCAAGCTACTGTAGACTCCACGTCTTGGTTTTTACTTGCACGTCCACCGTTTTATTGTAAATAATAGACATCATTCACTGTTTTGAATTACTTCATGCACTGTCACTATGCCAGCACGTTGCACGGACATCCCAGTTTAGCTGTATGATAGCTGCCATCGGGATTATCTCTACAAGTAACAAGTAACAAGTAACAAGTAAAGAAACTTATATAGTATTACCTGTGACTGTAACTAAGAAAGTGCAATTGCCAGTGTTTTCAGCGTTATCTGTAGACGAGCAGGTTACAGTTGTGATGCCGATCAGGAATTCATGTTTAGAAGAATGGGAACAAATAACATTGGGATCTGCATCAGCATTGTCAGTTGCATATGGCATGATATCAACGTCCGACGATGAATTTAGTCCAAAATCCGTCGTGGAAGTGATATCTGAACAATTCAGAGTAGGTGCTTCGTCATCTGTTAAAGGAAACAAAAGTAAAGTGGCGTTTTAAAGGAAATGACGTAGAAAACTTAAAGAGCAACACATGTTTATTCTCTGTCACCTCTTTCACCAAAGTTGGAAAGGATATTTAGTTTTTAAAGGAACTTATATAGTATTACCTGTAACTGTAACTAAGAAAGTGCAATTGCCAGTGTTTTCAGCGTTATCTGTAGACGAGCAGGTTACAGTTGTGATGCCGATCAGGAATTCATGGTCAGATGAATGGGAACAGGTCACATTAGGATCTGTATCAACATTGTCAGTTGCATATGCCATGATATCAACGTCCGACGATAAATTTAGTCCAAAATCCGTCGTGGAAGTGATATCTGAACAATCTAGAGTTGGTGCTTCGTCATCTGTAAAAGGAAACAAATGTAAAGAGGCGTTTTAAAGGAAATGATGTAGAAAACTTGAAGAGCAACACATGTTTATTCTCTGTAACCTTTTTTTTTTTACCAAAGTTGGAAAGGATATTTAGTTTTTAAAGGAACTTATATAGTTTTACCTGTGACTGTAACTAAGAAAGTGCAATTGCCAGTGTTTTCAGCGTTATCTGTAGACGAGCAGTTTACAGTTGTGATGCCGATCAGGAAGTCATGTTTAGATGAATGGGAACAAGTCACATTGGGATCTGTATCAACATTGTCAGTTGCATATGGCATGATATCAACGTCCGACGATGAATTTAGTCCAAAATCCGTCGTGGAAGTGATATCTGAACAATCTAGAGTTGGTGCTTCGTCATCTGTAAAAGGAAACAAATGTAAAGAGGCGTTTTAAAGGAAATGATGTAGAAAACTTGAAGAGCAACACATGTTTATTCTCTGTAACCTTTTTTTTTTTAACCAAAGTTGGAAAGGATATTTAGTTTTTAAAGGAACTTATATAGTTTTACCTGTGACTGTAACTAAGAAAGTGCAATTGCCAGTGTTTTCAGCGTTATCTGTAGACGAGCAGGTTACAGTTGTGATGCCGATCAGGAATTCATGGTCAGATAAATGGGAACAGGTCACATCAGGATCTGTATCAACATTGTCAGTTGCATATGGCATGATATCAACGTCCGACGATGAATTTAGTCCCAAATCCGTCGTGGAAGTGATATCTGAACAATTCAGAGTAGGTGCTTCGTCATCTGTTAAAGGAAACAAAAGTAAAGTGGCGTTTTAAAGGAAATGACGTAGAAAACTTGAAGAGCAACACATGTTTATTCTCTGTCACCTCTTTCACCAAAGTTGGAAAGGATATTTAGTTTTTAAAGAACTTATATAGTTTTACCTGTGACTGTAACTAAGAAAGTGCAATTGCCAGTGTTTTCAGCGTTATCTGTAGACGAGCAGTTTACAGTTGTGATGCCGATCAGGAAGTCATGTTTAGATGAATGGGAACAAGTCACATTGGGATCTGTATCAACATTGTCAATTGCATATGGCATGATATCAACGTCCGACGATGAATTTAGTCCAAAATCCGTCATGGAAGTGATATCTGAACAATTCAGAGTAGGTGCTTCGTCATCTGTAAAAGGAAACAAAAGTAAAGCGGCGTTTTAAAGGAAATGATGTAGCAAACTTGAAGAGCAACACATGTTTATTCTCTGTCACCTTTTTTTACCAAAGTTGGAAAGGATATTTAGTTTTTAAAGAAACTTATATAGTATTACCTGTGACTGTAACTAAGAAAGTGCAATTGCCAGTGTTTTCAGCGTTATCTGTAGACGAGCAGGTTACAGTTGTGATGCCGATCAGGAATTCATGTTTAGATGAATGGGAACAAGTAACATTGGGATCTGCATCAGCATTGTCAGTTGCATATGGCATGATATCAACGTCCGACGATGAATTTAGTCCAAAATCCGTCGTGGAAGTGATATCTGAACAATTTAGAGTAGGTGCTTCGTCATCTGTAAAAGGAAACAAAAGTAAAGCGGGGTTTTAAAGGAAATGATGTAGCAAACTTGAAGAGCAACACATGTTTATTCTCTGTCACCTTTTTCTCCAAAGTTGGAAAGGATATTTAGTTTTTAAAGAACTTATATAGTTTTACCTGTGACTGTAACTAAGAAAGTGCAATTGCCAGTGTTTTCAGCGTTATCTGTAGACGAGCAGTTTACAGTTGTGATGCCGATCAGGAAGTCATCTTTAGATGAATAGGAACAAGTCACATTGGGATCTGTATCAACATTGTCAGTTGCATATGGCATGATATCAACGTCCGACGATGAATTTAGTCCCAAATCCGTCGTGGAAGTGATATCTGAACAATTTAGAGTAGGTGCTTCGTCATCTGTAAAAGGAAACAAAAGTAAAGCGGCGTTTTAAAGGAAATGACGTAGAAAACTTGAAGAGCAACACATGTTTATTCTCTGTCACCTCTTTCACCAAAGTTGGAAAGGATATTTAGTTTTTAAAGGAACTTATATAGTATTACCTGTAACTGTAACTAAGAAAGTGCAATTGCCAGTGTTTTCAGCGTTATCTGTAGACGAGCAGGTTACAGTTGTGATGCCGATCAGGAATTCATGGTCAGATGAATAGGAACAGGTCACATTAGGATCTGTATCAACATTGTCAGTTGCATATGGCATGATATCAACGTCCGACGATGAATTTAGTCCCAAATCCGTCGTGGAAGTGATATCTGAACAATTTAGAGTAGGTGCTTCGTCATCTGTAAAAGGAAACAAAAGTAAAGCGGCGTTTTAAAGGAAATGACGTAGAAAACTTAAAGAGCAACACATGTTTATTCTCTGTCACCTCTTTCACCAAAGTTGGAAAGGATATTTAGTTTTTAAAGGAACTTATATAGTATTACCTGTAACTGTAACTAAGAAAGTGCAATTGCCAGTGTTTTCAGCGTTATCTGTAGACGAGCAGGTTACAGTTGTGATGCCGATCAGGAATTCATGGTCAGATGAATAGGAACAGGTCACATTAGGATCTGTATCAACATTGTCAGTTGCATATGGCATGATATCAACGTCCGACGATGAATTTAGTCCAAAATCCGTCGTGGAAGTGATATCTGAACAATTTAGAGTAGGTGCTTCGTCATCTGTAAAAGGAAACAAAAGTAAAGCGGCGTTTTTAAGGAAATGATGTAGCAAACTTGAAGAGCAACACATGTTTATTCTCTGTCACCTTTTTACCAAAGTTGGAAAGGATATTTAGTTTTTAAAGAACTTATATAGTTTTACCTGTGACTGTAACTAAGAAAGTGCAATTGCCAGTGTTTTCAGCGTTATCTGTAGACGAGCAGTTTACAGTTGTGATGCCGATCAGGAAGTCATGTTTAGATGAATGGGAACAAGTCACATTGGGATCTGTATCAACATTGTCAGTTGCATATGGCATGATATCAATGTCCGACGATGAATTTAGTCCCAAATCCGTCGTGGAAGTGATATCTGAACAATTTAGAGTAGGTGCTTCGTCATCTGTAAAAGGAAACAAAAGTAAAGCGGCGTTTTAAAGGAAATGACGTAGAAAACTTAAAGAGCAACGCATGTTTATTCTCTGTCACCTCTTTCACCAAAGTTGGAAAGGATATTTAGTTTTTAAAGGAACTTATATAGTATTACCTGTAACTGTAACTAAGAAAGTGCAATTGCCAGTGTTTTCAGCGTTATCTGTAGACGAGCAGGTTACAGTTGTGATGCCGATCAGGAATTCATGGTCAGATGAATAGGAACAGGTCACATTAGGATCTGTATCAACATTGTCAGTTGCATATGGCATGATATCAACGTCCGACGATGAATTTAGTCCCAAATCCGTCGTGGAAGTGATATCTGAACAATTTAGAGTAGGTGCTTCGTCATCTGTAAAAGGAAACAAAAGTAAAGCGGCGTTTTAAAGGAAATGACGTAGAAAACTTAAAGAGCAACACATGTTTATTCTCTGTCACCTCTTTCACCAAAGTTGGAAAGGATATTTAGTTTTTAAAGGAACTTATATAGTATTACCTGTAACTGTAACTAAGAAAGTGCAATTGCCAGTGTTTTCAGCGTTATCTGTAGACGAGCAGGTTACAGTTGTGATGCCGATCAGGAATTCATGGTCAGATAAATGGGAACAGGTCACATCAGGATCTGTATCAACATTGTCAGTTGCATATGGCATGATATCAACGTCCGACGATGAATTTAGTCCCAAATCCGTCGTGGAAGTGATATCTGAACAATTCAGAGTAGGTGCTTCGTCATCTGTTAAAGGAAACAAAAGTAAAGTGGCGTTTTAAAGGAAATGACGTAGAAAACTTGAAGAGCAACACATGTTTATTCTCTGTCACCTCTTTCACCAAAGTTGGAAAGGATATTTAGTTTTTAAAGAACTTATATAGTTTTACCTGTGACTGTAACTAAGAAAGTGCAATTGCCAGTGTTTTCAGCGTTATCTGTAGACGAGCAGTTTACAGTTGTGATGCCGATCAGGAAGTCATGTTTAGATGAATGGGAACAAGTCACATTGGGATCTGTATCAACATTGTCAGTCGCATATGGCATGATATCAACGTCCGACGATGAATTTAGTCCAAAATCCGTCGTGGAAGTGATATCTGAACAATTTAGAGTAGGTGCTTCGTCATCTGTAAAAGGAAACAAAAGTAAAGCGGCGTTTTAAAGGAAATGACGTAGAAAACTTAAAGAGCAACACATGTTTATTCTCTGTCACCTCTTTCACCAAAGTTGGAAAGGATATTTAGTTTTTAAAGGAACTTATATAGTATTACCTGTAACTGTAACTAAGAAAGTGCAATTGCCAGTGTTTTCAGCGTTATCTGTAGACGAGCAGGTTACAGTTGTGATGCCGATCAGGAATTCATGGTCAGATGAATAGGAACAGGTCACATTAGGATCTGTATCAACATTGTCAGTTGCATATGGCATGATATCAACGTCCGACGATGAATTTAGTCCAAAATCCGTCGTGGAAGTGATATCTGAACAATTTAGAGTAGGTGCTTCGTCATCTGTAAAAGGAAACAAAAGTAAAGCGGCGTTTTTAAGGAAATGATGTAGCAAACTTGAAGAGCAACACATGTTTATTCTCTGTCACCTTTTTACCAAAGTTGGAAAGGATATTTAGTTTTTAAAGAACTTATATAGTTTTACCTGTGACTGTAACTAAGAAAGTGCAATTGCCAGTGTTTTCAGCGTTATCTGTAGACGAGCAGTTTACAGTTGTGATGCCGATCAGGAAGTCATGTTTAGATGAATGGGAACAAGTCACATTGGGATCTGTATCAACATTGTCAGTTGCATATGGCATGATATCAATGTCCGACGATGAATTTAGTCCCAAATCCGTCGTGGAAGTGATATCTGAACAATTTAGAGTAGGTGCTTCGTCATCTGTAAAAGGAAACAAAAGTAAACGGCGTTTTAAAGGAAATGACGTAGAAAACTTAAAGAGCAACGCATGTTTATTCTCTGTCACCTCTTTCACCAAAGTTGGAAAGGATATTTAGTTTTTAAAGGAACTTATATAGTATTACCTGTAACTGTAACTAAGAAAGTGCAATTGCCAGTGTTTTCAGCGTTATCTGTAGACGAGCAGGTTACAGTTGTGATGCCGATCAGGAATTCATGGTCAGATGAATAGGAACAGGTCACATTAGGATCTGTATCAACATTGTCAGTTGCATATGGCATGATATCAACGTCCGACGATGAATTTAGTCCCAAATCCGTCGTGGAAGTGATATCTGAACAATTTAGAGTAGGTGCTTCGTCATCTGTAAAAGGAAACAAAAGTAAAGCGGCGTTTTAAAGGAAATGACGTAGAAAACTTAAAGAGCAACACATGTTTATTCTCTGTCACCTCTTTCACCAAAGTTGGAAAGGATATTTAGTTTTTAAAGGAACTTATATAGTATTACCTGTAACTGTAACTAAGAAAGTGCAATTGCCAGTGTTTTCAGCGTTATCTGTAGACGAGCAGGTTACAGTTGTGATGCCGATCAGGAATTCATGGTCAGATAAATGGGAACAGGTCACATCAGGATCTGTATCAACATTGTCAGTTGCATATGGCATGATATCAACGTCCGACGATGAATTTAGTCCCAAATCCGTCGTGGAAGTGATATCTGAACAATTCAGAGTAGGTGCTTCGTCATCTGTTAAAGGAAACAAAAGTAAAGTGGCGTTTTAAAGGAAATGACGTAGAAAACTTGAAGAGCAACACATGTTTATTCTCTGTCACCTCTTTCACCAAAGTTGGAAAGGATATTTAGTTTTTAAAGAACTTATATAGTTTTACCTGTGACTGTAACTAAGAAAGTGCAATTGCCAGTGTTTTCAGCGTTATCTGTAGACGAGCAGTTTACAGTTGTGATGCCGATCAGGAAGTCATGTTTAGATGAATGGGAACAAGTCACATTGGGATCTGTATCAACATTGTCAGTCGCATATGGCATGATATCAACGTCCGACGATGAATTTAGTCCAAAATCCGTCGTGGAAGTGATATCTGAACAATCTAGAGTTGGTGCTTCGTCATCTGTAAAAGGAAACAAATGTAAAGAGGCGTTTTAAAGGAAATGATGTAGAAAACTTGAAGAGCAACACATGTTTATTCTCTGTAACCTTTTTTTTTTTACCAAAGTTGGAAAGGATATTTAGTTTTTAAAGGAACTTATATAGTTTTACCTGTGACTGTAACTAAGAAAGTGCAATTGCCAGTGTTTTCAGCGTTATCTGTAGACGAGCAGTTTACAGTTGTGATGCCGATCAGTAAGTCATGTTTAGATGAATGGGAACAAGTCACATTGGGATCTGTATCAACATTGTCAGTTGCATATGGCATGATATCAACGTCCGACGATGAATTTAGTCCAAAATCCGTCGTGGAAGTGATATCTGAACAATCTAGAGTTGGTGCTTCGTCATCTGTAAAAGGAAACAAATGTAAAGAGGCGTTTTAAAGGAAATGATGTAGAAAACTTGAAGAGCAACACATGTTTATTCTCTGTAACCTTTTTTTTTTTACCAAAGTTGGAAAGGATATTTAGTTTTTAAAGGAACTTATATAGTTTTACCTGTGACTGTAACTAAGAAAGTGCAATTGCCAGTGTTTTCAGCGTTATCTGTAGACGAGCAGGTTACAGTTGTGATGCCGATCAGGAATTCATGGTCAGATAAATGGGAACAGGTCACATCAGGATCTGTATCAACATTGTCAGTTGCATATGGCATGATATCAACGTCCGACGATGAATTTAGTCCAAAATCCGTCGTGGAAGTGATATCTGAACAATTCAGAGTAGGTGCTTCGTCATCTGTTAAAGGAAACAAAAGTAAAGTGGCGTTTTAAAGGAAATGACGTAGAAAACTTGAAGAGCAACACATGTTTATTCTCTGTCACCTCTTTCACCAAAGTTGGAAAGGATATTTAGTTTTTAAAGAACTTATATAGTTTTACCTGTGACTGTAACTAAGAAAGTGCAATTGCCAGTGTTTTCAGCGTTATCTGTAGACGAGCAGGTTACAGTTGTGATGCCGATCAGGAATTCATGGTCAGATGAATAGGAACAGGTCACATTAGGATCTGTATCAACATTGTCAGTTGCATATGGCATGATATCAACGTCCGACGATGAATTTAGTCCCAAATCCGTCGTGGAAGTGATATCTGAACAATTTAGAGTAGGTGCTTCGTCATCTGTAAAAGGAAACAAAAGTAAAGCGGCGTTTTAAAGGAAATGACGTAGAAAACTTAAAGAGCAACACATGTTTATTCTCTGTCACCTCTTTCACCAAAGTTGGAAAGGATATTTAGTTTTTAAAGGAACTTATATAGTATTACCTGTAACTGTAACTAAGAAAGTGCAATTGCCAGTGTTTTCAGCGTTATCTGTAGACGAGCAGGTTACAGTTGTGATGCCGATCAGGAATTCATGGTCAGATAAATGGGAACAGGTCACATCAGGATCTGTATCAACATTGTCAGTTGCATATGGCATGATATCAACGTCCGACGATGAATTTAGTCCCAAATCCGTCGTGGAAGTGATATCTGAACAATTCAGAGTAGGTGCTTCGTCATCTGTTAAAGGAAACAAAAGTAAAGTGGCGTTTTAAAGGAAATGACGTAGAAAACTTGAAGAGCAACACATGTTTATTCTCTGTCACCTCTTTCACCAAAGTTGGAAAGGATATTTAGTTTTTAAAGAACTTATATAGTTTTACCTGTGACTGTAACTAAGAAAGTGCAATTGCCAGTGTTTTCAGCGTTATCTGTAGACGAGCAGTTTACAGTTGTGATGCCGATCAGGAAGTCATGTTTAGATGAATGGGAACAAGTCACATTGGGATCTGTATCAACATTGTCAGTCGCATATGGCATGATATCAACGTCCGACGATGAATTTAGTCCAAAATCCGTCGTGGAAGTGATATCTGAACAATCTAGAGTTGGTGCTTCGTCATCTGTAAAAGGAAACAAATGTAAAGAGGCGTTTTAAAGGAAATGATGTAGAAAACTTGAAGAGCAACACATGTTTATTCTCTGTAACCTTTTTTTTTTTTACCAAAGTTGGAAAGGATATTTAGTTTTTAAAGGAACTTATATAGTTTTACCTGTGACTGTAACTAAGAAAGTGCAATTGCCAGTGTTTTCAGCGTTATCTGTAGACGAGCAGTTTACAGTTGTGATGCCGATCAGGAAGTCATGTTTAGATGAATGGGAACAAGTCACATTGGGATCTGTATCAACATTGTCAGTTGCATATGGCATGATATCAACGTCCGACGATGAATTTAGTCCAAAATCCGTCGTGGAAGTGATATCTGAACAATCTAGAGTTGGTGCTTCGTCATCTGTAAAAGGAAACAAATGTAAAGAGGCGTTTTAAAGGAAATGATGTAGAAAACTTGAAGAGCAACACATGTTTATTCTCTGTAACCTTTTTTTTTTTACCAAAGTTGGAAAGGATATTTAGTTTTTAAAGGAACTTATATAGTTTTACCTGTGACTGTAACTAAGAAAGTGCAATTGCCAGTGTTTTCAGCGTTATCTGTAGACGAGCAGGTTACAGTTGTGATGCCGATCAGGAATTCATGGTCAGATAAATGGGAACAGGTCACATCAGGATCTGTATCAACATTGTCAGTTGCATATGGCATGATATCAACGTCCGACGATGAATTTAGTCCAAAATCCGTCGTGGAAGTGATATCTGAACAATTCAGAGTAGGTGCTTCGTCATCTGTTAAAGGAAACAAAAGTAAAGTGGCGTTTTAAAGGAAATGACGTAGAAAACTTGAAGAGCAACACATGTTTATTCTCTGTCACCTCTTTCACCAAAGTTGGAAAGGATATTTAGTTTTTAAAGAACTTATATAGTTTTACCTGTGACTGTAACTAAGAAAGTGCAATTGCCAGTGTTTTCAGCGTTATCTGTAGACGAGCAGTTTACAGTTGTGATGCCGATCAGGAAGTCATGTTTAGATGAATGGGAACAAGTCACATTGGGATCTGTATCAACATTGTCAATTGCATATGGCATGATATCAACGTCCGACGATGAATTTAGTCCAAAATCCGTCATGGAAGTGATATCTGAACAATTCAGAGTAGGTGCTTCGTCATCTGTAAAAGGAAACAAAAGTAAAGCGGCGTTTTAAAGGAAATGATGTAGCAAACTTGAAGAGCAACACATGTTTATTCTCTGTCACCTTTTTTTACCAAAGTTGGAAAGGATATTTAGTTTTTAAAGAAACTTATATAGTATTACCTGTGACTGTAACTAAGAAAGTGCAATTGCCAGTGTTTTCAGCGTTATCTGTAGACGAGCAGGTTACAGTTGTGATGCCGATCAGGAATTCATGTTTAGATGAATGGGAACAAGTAACATTGGGATCTGCATCAGCATTGTCAGTTGCATATGGCATGATATCAACGTCCGACGATGAATTTAGTCCAAAATCCGTCGTGAAAGTGATATCTGAACAATTCAGAGTAGGTGCTTCGTCATCTGTAAAAGGAAACAAAAGTAAAGCGGGGTTTTAAAGGAAATGATGTAGCAAACTTGAAGAGCAACACATGTTTATTCTCTGTCACCTTTTTCTCCAAAGTTGGAAAGGATATTTAGTTTTTAAAGAACTTATATAGTTTTACCTGTGACTGTAACTAAGAAAGTGCAATTGCCAGTGTTTTCAGCGTTATCTGTAGACGAGCAGTTTACAGTTGTGATGCCGATCAGGAAGTCATGTTTAGATGAATGGGAACAAGTCACATTGGGATCTGTATCAACATTGTCAGTTGCATATGGCATGATATCAACGTCCGACGATGAATTTAGTCCAAAATCCGTCGTGGAAGTGATATCTGAACAATGTAGAGTTGGTGCTTCGTCATCTGTAAAAGGAAACAAATGTAAAGAGGCGTTTTAAAGGAAATGATGTAGAAAACTTGAAGAGCAACACATGTTTATTCTCTGTAACCTTTTTTTTTTTACCAAAGTTGGAAAGGATATTTAGTTTTTAAAGGAACTTATATAGTTTTACCTGTGACTGTAAATAAGAAAGTGCAATTGCCAGTGTTTTCAGCGTTATCTGTAGACGAGCAGGTTACAGTTGTGATGCCGATCAGGAATTCATGGTCAGATAAATGGGAACAGGTCACATCAGGATCTGTATCAACATTGTCAGTTGCATATGGCATGATATCAACGTCCGACGATGAATTTAGTCCAAAATCCGTCGTGGAAGTGATATCTGAACAATTCAGAGTAGGTGCTTCGTCATCTGTTAAAGGAAACAAAAGTAAAGTGGCGTTTTAAAGGAAATGACGTAGAAAACTTGAAGAGCAACACATGTTTATTCTCTGTCACCTCTTTCACCAAAGTTGGAAAGGATATTTAGTTTTTAAAGAACTTATATAGTTTTACCTGTGACTGTAACTAAGAAAGTGCAATTGCCAGTGTTTTCAGCGTTATCTGTAGACGAGCAGTTTACAGTTGTGATGCCGATCAGGAAGTCATGTTTAGATGAATGGGAACAAGTCACATTGGGATCTGTATCAACATTGTCAATTGCATATGGCATGATATCAACGTCCGACGATGAATTTAGTCCAAAATCCGTCATGGAAGTGATATCTGAACAATTCAGAGTAGGTGCTTCGTCATCTGTAAAAGGAAACAAAAGTAAAGCGGCGTTTTAAAGGAAATGATGTAGCAAACTTGAAGAGCAACACATGTTTATTCTCTGTCACCTTTTTTTACCAAAGTTGGAAAGGATATTTAGTTTTTAAAGAAACTTATATAGTATTACCTGTGACTGTAACTAAGAAAGTGCAATTGCCAGTGTTTTCAGCGTTATCTGTAGACGAGCAGGTTACAGTTGTGATGCCGATCAGGAATTCATGTTTAGATGAATGGGAACAAGTAACATTGGGATCTGCATCAGCATTGTCAGTTGCATATGGCATGATATCAACGTCCGACGATGAATTTAGTCCAAAATCCGTCGTGAAAGTGATATCTGAACAATTCAGAGTAGGTGCTTCGTCATCTGTAAAAGGAAACAAAAGTAAAGCGGGGTTTTAAAGGAAATGATGTAGCAAACTTGAAGAGCAACACATGTTTATTCTCTGTCACCTTTTTCTCCAAAGTTGGAAAGGATATTTAGTTTTTAAAGAACTTATATAGTTTTACCTGTGACTGTAACTAAGAAAGTGCAATTGCCAGTGTTTTCAGCGTTATCTGTAGACGAGCAGTTTACAGTTGTGATGCCGATCAGGAAGTCATGTTTAGATGAATAGGAACAAGTCACATTGGGATCTGTATCAACATTGTCAGTTGCATATGGCATGATATCAACGTCCGACGATGAATTTAGTCCCAAATCCGTCGTGGAAGTGATATCTGAACAATTTAGAGTAGGTGCTTCGTCATCTGTAAAAGGAAACAAAAGTAAAGCGGCGTTTTAAAGGAAATGACGTAGAAAACTTGAAGAGCAACACATGTTTATTCTCTGTCACCTCTTTCACCAAAGTTGGAAAGGATATTTAGTTTTTAAAGGAACTTATATAGTATTACCTGTAACTGTAACTAAGAAAGTGCAATTGCCAGTGTTTTCAGCGTTATCTGTAGACGAGCAGGTTACAGTTGTGATGCCGATCAGGAATTCATGGTCAGATGAATAGGAACAGGTCGAATTAGGATCTGTATCAACATTGTCAGTCGCATATGGCATGATATCAACGTCCGACGATGAATTTAGTCCAAAATCCGTCGTGGAAGTGATATCTGAACAATTTAGAGTAGGTGCTTCGTCATCTGTAAAAGTAAACAAAAGTAAAGCGGCGTTTTAAAGGAAATGACGTAGAAAACTTAAAGAGCAACGCATGTTTATTCTCTGTCACCTCTTTTACCAAAGTTGGAAAGGATATTTAGTTTTTAAAGGAACTTATATAGTATTACCTGTAACTGTAACTAAGAAAGTGCAATTGCCAGTGTTTTCAGCGTTATCTGTAGACGAGCAGGTTACAGTTGTGATGCCGATCAGGAATTCATGGTCAGATGAATAGGAACAGGTCACATTAGGATCTGTATCAACATTGTCAGTTGCATATGGCATGATATCAACGTCCGACGATGAATTTAGTCCCAAATCCGTCGTGGAAGTGATATCTGAACAATTTAGAGTAGGTGCTTCGTCATCTGTAAAAGGAAACAAAAGTAAAGCGGCGTTTTAAAGGAAATGACGTAGAAAACTTAAAGAGTAACACATGTTTATTCTCTGTCACCTCTTTCACCAAAGTTGGAAAGGATATTTAGTTTTTAAAGGAACTTATATAGTATTACCTGTAACTGTAACTAAGAAAGTGCAATTGCCAGTGTTTTCAGCGTTATCTGTAGACGAGCAGGTTACAGTTGTGATGCCGATCAGGAATTCATGGTCAGATAAATGGGAACAGGTCACATCAGGATCTGTATCAACATTGTCAGTTGCATATGGCATGATATCAACGTCCGACGATGAATTTAGTCCAAAATCCGTCGTGGAAATGATATCTGAACAATTCAGAGTAGGTGCTTCGTCATCTGTTAAAGGAAACAAAAGTAAAGTGGCGTTTTAAAGGAAATGACGTAGAAAACTTAAAGAGCAACACATGTTTATTCTCTGTCACCTCTTTCACCAAAGTTGGAAAGGATATTTAGTTTTTAAAGGAACTTATATAGAATTACCTGTAACTGTAACTAAGAAAGTGCAATTGCCAGTGTTTTCAGCGTTATCTGTAGACGAGCAGGTTACAGTTGTGATGCCGATCAGGAATTCATGGTCAGATGAATGGGAACAGGTCACATTAGGATCTGAATCAACATTGTCAGTTGCATATGGCATGATATCAACGTCCGACGATGAATTTAGTCCCAAATCCGTCGTGGAAGTGATATCTGAACAATCTAGAGTTGGTGCTTCGTCATCTGTAAAAGGAAACAAAAGTAAAGCGGCGTTTTAAAGGAAATGACGTAGAAAACTTAAAGAGCAACACATGTTTATTCTCTGTCACCTCTTTCACCAAAGTTGGAAAGGATATTTAGTTTTTAAAGGAACTTATATAGTATTACCTGTAACTGTAACTAAGAAAGTGCAATTGCCAGTGTTTTCAGCGTTATCTGTAGACGAGCAGGTTACAGTTGTGATGCCGATCAGGAATTCATGGTCAGATAAATGGGAACAGGTTACATCAGGATCTGTATCAACATTGTCAGTTGCATATGGCATGATATTAACGTCCGACGATGAATTTAGTCCAAAATCCGTCGTGGAAGTGATATCTGAACAATTCAGAGTAGGTGCTTCGTCATCTGTTAAAGGAAACAAAAGTAAAGTGGCGTTTTAAAGGAAATGACGTAGAAAACTTAAAGAGCAACACATGTTTATTCTCTTGCACCTCTTTCACCAAAGTTGGAAAGGATATTTAGTTTTTAAAGGAACTTATATAGTATTACCTGTAACTGTAACTAAGAAAGTGCAATTGCCAGTGTTTTCAGCGTTATCTGTAGACGAGCAGGTTACAGTTGTGATGCCGATCAGGAATTCATGGTCAGATGAATGGGAACAGGTCACATTAGGATCTGTATCAACATTGTCAGTTGCATATGGCATGATATCAACGTCCGACGATGAATTTAGTCCCAAATCCGTCGTGGAAGTGATATCTGAACAATCCAGAGTTGGTGCTTCGTCATCTGTAAAAGGAAACAAATGTAAAGAGGCGTTTTAAAGGAAATGATGTAGAAAACTTGAAGAGCAACACATGTTTATTCTCTGTAACCTTTTTTTTTTTACCAAAGTTGGAAAGGATATTTAGTTTTTAAAGGAACTTATATAGTATTACCTGTAACTGTAACTAAGAAAGTGCAATTGCCAGTGTTTTCAGCGTTATCTGTAGACGAGCAGGTTACAGTTGTGATGCCGATCAGGAATTCATGGTCAGATGAATAGGAACAGGTCACATTAGGATCTGTATCAACATTGTCAGTTGCATATGCCATGATATCAACGTCCGACGATGAATTTAGTCCAAAATCCGTCGTGGAAGTGATATCTGAACAATCTAGAGTTGGTGCTTCGTCATCTGTAAAAGGAAACAAATGTAAAGAGGCGTTTTAAAGGAAATGATGTAGAAAACTTGAAGAGCAACACATGTTTATTCTCTGTAACCTTTTTTTTTTACCAAAGTTGGAAAGGATATTTAATTTTTAAAGTAACTTATATAGTTTTACCTGTGACTGTAACTAAGAAAGTGCAATTGCCAGTGTTTTCAGCGTTATCTGTAGACGAGCAGTTTACAGTTGTGATGCCGATCAGGAATTCATGTTTAGATGAATGGGAACAAGTCACATGAGGATCTGTATCAACATTGTCAGTTGCATATGGCATGATATCAACGTCCGACGATGAATTTAGTCCAAAATCCGTCGTGGAAATGATATCTGAACAATTCAGAGTAGGTGCTTCGTCATCTGTAAAAGGAAACAAAAGTAAAGTGGCGTTTTAAAGGAAATGACATAGAAAACTTAAAGAGCAAGACATGTTTATTCTCTGTCACCTTTTTCTCCAAAGTTGGAAAGGATATTTAGTTTTTAAAGGAACTTATATAGTATTACCTGTGACTTTAACTAAGAAAGTGCAATTGCCAGTGTTTTCAGCGTTATCTGTAGACGAGCAGGTTACAGTTGTGATGCCGATCAGGAAGTCATGTTTAGATGAATGGGAACAAGTCACATTAGGATCTGTATCAACATTGTCAGTTGCATATGGCATGATATCAACGTCCGACGATGAATTTAGTCCCAAATCCGTCGTGGATTTGATATCTGAACAATTCAGAGTAGGTGCTTCGTCATCTGTAAAAGGAAACAAAAGTAAAGCGGCGTTTTAAAGGAAATGACATAGAAACCATGTTAATTGTAAACTTTCTGTCACCTATTACCCCCGAAGTCGGAAAAGATGTTTGGTTGAAACGAAACTTTTATAGTTTTACCTGTGACTGTAACCATAACCGTTGTTGAAATAACTTCTGGGCTATTCAGAATTGTTGTTTCGCCATCTGGATAACCACAGAATGAAGAAAAATTAGGGAAAAAATTTGTTGATAAAAAACAGACAGAAGGAAGATAAATACAAATAAAGGAAAAGATGTGGAAACCTGAATTTCAGCATTTTATTACTTCGTTTAAACCGTCTACTCTAGGTTGTTTTTTTTTTAATATATTTTTTTTCATAGATATGTGATTTATAAGAAATTATTTGAGGTGTGATAGTATGGTGGTTAGGATGTGATTAATGAAAATTACATGTCAATCAATAATTTCGATTAGGCTTTTTCCGGAAACTGATTAGAAGTACCGATTGGCGTAAAGCGCGTAGAATTTACTACCTTGTGGCCTAAAAGTGGTATACCTACAAACAAAGAGAACACATTTCTCATTGACCAACTCCTTTCCCCTAATGTGTTTTGTTTTTTTGGTTGTTTTGAAATTTTTTACTAAACGCTTTCAAAATGAAAATATTGCTTTATATTTCTAACACGGTCGCAATGATTAGACTTCGTAGAAATCACCTCAAGGGTATCCATAATATAAATGAATATAAATTATACCTTCAACAAATACCTGTGACTTGAATAGACAATGTTATTTATGTTATTAATGTAAATTACCTAAAATATTTATTTGTTAATGTGTTGCAAATGAAAATCAATAAAATCCCTGTGGAGGGAAAAATATGAAAACAAATTAATTAAACCAGTAATATTACAAACGTCTACCCAATTCAATTTAACACAATAATAATTGTTTCAATGTTTGATGTCATGTTCTCCTTTCTAGTTGTTAATGATGACCTAGTATGTGTCAATGTACCTTTTATAACCTTATTTCATGTCTTCTTGTAGTTTACCTGTTAATCTGACAATAAAACTGAATTTGAATTGAATTGGATGGCAATTTTAATACCCTCTTGTCCATCACATATGAATTATGTTAATATTTGCACATTACAACATGTGATGGAATAGGCTATCGCGATTGCCTTTACTTGATTTTTCGAAAGCTTTTGCGATACTGTTGTTCTAACATTTATGCAATAAATCTTTAACATAATCGTTGTGCCTTCACATTTTCGTTTTTTCAAAGAAATCCTTACCTGCAGCTGATATGATCATAACCAATGTTAGATAAACACAGGGAAGGAAGAGCGAGGACTTCATGTTGATTCCTCACGCAGGCGAAATATGATATCCAGTCTTAACAGGCATAGAGAAGTAGAGAGAAAGAAAATGCAAGAGATGTGGAAACAAAAACTCATTCTATTTAATAAAGATTGTAAACCACCCCCTTCCCAACCCCCCAACCCCCAAAAAAAAAAAAAAAAAAAAAATTGAGAACCTTATTTTTGTGTTCGTGACAGATCTTGTATAGTTACTCCGCTTCAGAAATATTTGATAAATTGTTCTTTTTATCAGTGGCACCTTTTAAAAAAAAATACGCTATGCCAGTTGGTTATTCATTGAGAAATGATAAGAAGTGTAGTTGTCAAGCATAATAACGAAAATCAATTAAGATAATACAAAAAACTAAGCAACCGCTAAAATAATGTCGATTTAAAAATTATGGTTATATCATATTTTGCTGCTACCTGTTTGGCGTTCAACTATAAGGGAGAGAGCAACGTCGATCTGGCGCTGCTCAGTGGCTGCCGGGCTCACGATCAATTGGGCAAAAAAGAATTTCCATTTTAGGTTTAATAAAATTTGGAATGGACTTAAAAAGATTATTATTATTATTATCATGTTATGTTAAGGAAGAGAGAGAGAGAGAGAACATGATTTTACTTACAAACAAAGTCAATCAGGTTGGCACAGTGCGTGCATTTTCTTTCTCCAAGTGATAGTCGTCCTCCGTATAAATGTGTTTCGATGTCAAACATTAATCATTAACAGCACCAGAGGAAAATCCAACCCTTCTCCAAAAATCCTTTTCGGAAATGAAATGAAAAGAGAGAGAGAGAGAGATCAAATTTCTTCGTGTTTTGTCACACAAAGGCAATGATGACATTGTCACTTCCGTTTCTCTAAAGAGACTCAGCATGTATTGATCTAAAATTGAAAGATTGAGGCTAAAGCGTGTACAGTAAAACCTAAACGTCCCCACAAAAATGCCCTACCCATCCGATTAACATGATTAAAATAGTTTCATTCCGTAAATGGGGGAGCAATTAAAGCTAATTCGAAATTAATGTAGTTGCAAAACAGTTCGGATAAACTGGGTAATTAAAATATTCTTTCACGACACACCTATCTAAATCGGAATGCAGTGACGTATCTTTTGATAATGGAACCCCGAGCTAATTACAATAAATCTGTGAAGCCGTCCAATAGCATATTGTGAGCTTGGCATCAGGGGAGGGGGAGGGGGGGTGACATCTGAGCTTTTTTTTCGCATTTTAAACCTTTTAATATAAATGTGCATTTTTCCTTAAATTCGGGCGTATATAATGCTCACAGCCCCTAAATTTCTTTCTTTTCCGGACTCTCACTTTCTATCTTATGAGTTGTTTATGTCTTTTGTGTTTGCCCCTCCTACCTTCGTCCCCCCTTGATACACAAATGGATCGGAGTAGAAACAGAGTACAACATAACAGAACTGACGTCCAAAAGGCAGTAAATATTTGATATCTTTTAAAAATAAATTTAGGAGCAAAATGCTGCGGTTTCATTATGAATCAGTTATTTCGGTATGTGAGCACAGAAGTAGAATATATATTTGCATGGTTATGAGTCAATGGAGGTGTATTGGCGTAAGACCATTCCTGCCAACCTTCCACAGCCAAAGGAACCCATGAGGAATCTCTGAAGTAAAAATTAGGAATAGAGTGCAGGCGCGGATCCAGGAGTCTCCAATAGGGGGGGGGGGGCGTAAATTTGAAAATTGCGCAGACCGTTTTTCCAAAGTCATATTAGAAGCACCATACCGGTACAATTTTTGACATTTTAATCGGGGGGGGGGGGCTATAGCCTCCAGCCCGTGGAAGCTTTGACCTTTTATAGTTTAATGAAATTATTAGAGAAAGAAGATGATTTGTTATTCCATTATCGACTCTTAATCCTTCTCTGAATTCATTTTTACCCCTCCTGCGGAAAGCGCAGAAGCTTAACGTTTCATTAAATTATTAGAGAAAGAAGACTCTTCGTTGTACCGTTCTCGAATCTTAATCCTTGTCTAAATTCAGTTTCCCCTCCCTCGCGAAGCGCGGAAGCTTTGACGTTTCATTAAATTATTAGAGAAAGAAGACGATTCGTTGTACCGTTCTCGAATCATTATCCTTGTCTGAATTGAGTTCCCCCCCCCTCTCCCTTGCGAAGCGCGGAAGCTTTGACATTTCGTTAAAATATTAGAGAAAAAGACGATTCGTTGTACCATTCTCGACTCTTAGTCCTTGTTTAAATTCAGTTCCCCCCCCCCTCTCACGCGAAGCTTGGAAGCTTTGACCTTTCCTTCAATTATTAGAGAAAGAAGACGATTCGGTGTACCATTCTCGACTCTTAATCCTTGTCTGAATTAAGTTTCCTCCCGCCCGCGTGAAGCGCGGAAGCTTTGCTCTTTCATTAATTATTAGAGAAAGAAGATTTGTTGTACCATTCTCGACTCTTATTACCCTTTACAACTCTTTTCATGTATGTTATTACCACTCAATAGTGTCTGACAGTGAAGTCTAGCAAGTAAACAGGTTTCCTTGCATAATTTGAATATGAGGACACTGCTAACGTTTAAATTTCACAGATAGGACATACATGACATATTCATAATTCCTGCAAAGTTCTACAGCATTTGAGGTTGGCTGCAAAAGGGACATAGTACCTTTAATGAAATTATTAGAGAAAGAAGATGATTCGTTGTACCGTCATCGAATCTTTATCCTTGTCTGAATTGAGTTCCCCCCCCCCCCCGCGCGAAGCGCGGAAGCTTTGACGTTTCATTAAATTATTAGAGAAAGAAGACGATTCGTTGTACCATTCTCGACTCTTAATCCTTGTATGTATTCAGTTTCCCCCCTCTCGCGCGAAGCGCGGAAATGTTGACGTTTAATTAAATTATTAGAGAAAGAAGATGATTCATTTTACCATTCTCGACTCCCAATCCTTGTCTGAATTCTGTTTCCCCCCCCCCCCCCCTGCCGAACGATGCGCGGAAGCTTTGACATTTCATTCAATTATTAGAGAAAGAAGACGATTCGTTGTACCGTTCTCGACTTGTCAGAATTTTCGAAAATGTTTCTTTGTCTGCTCCTTTTTCGTCCTATGTCCTCTTACTGCCCCTACCGCCCCTGGCCACGCGCCTGCGTTAAAGGGAAAATGAAACAATCATGATTGTGATAGCACACAATTAGGTTATTAGAAATGAAAGGGGAAAAAAATCTATTACACCAACCATGGATAAATCACGGCCGGGAGCGTCATAGTTTTGTGTTATTGGGCGAGGGCCGGGGCGTAGCGACCAAGCGAGATTTTGCAATGTTGAATGCTGAAATTATGCATTCTAGAAAATCCCTAAGCCCAATATGTACGTTCTTTCCGCTATATTCCTTTCTAGCTATATTTCTAAATTTCCTGGGGGACGTGTCCCCCTATCGGGCCCAGGATTGCCGCCCCTGTCTATGATTACTACCAACATGAGTTCAAATACAAGCACAAGCGAGTTGGTATGAGCTGAATCCAAATGAATGGCAACATAAGAGTTGTGAAGCGACCCTATCGTTAATTTAAAATTTGACTGTTGAGTATATAACTTCTATATAAAAGAAAACCAAAATATTTTGCCCTTTTCAAATTTCTCTCTAAAGATTGATGAACGCAGGGGCTGTTCTTAACATTTAACTTTGAATCCGCGGCTCGAAATTTTATGCGGCCGGCCCGGCCCCCTCTATTCAATAGCGTTTGCCAAGCCTTCTGGAATGACCCCAAATCTCCCGATTACAGTTTTCCCTTATTCGTCGTTACTGTTACTTAGCTCCTTTTCCTTGTCTTTCCCGCTTTCTCACCCGACTTTTCTTCCCCCCCCCCCCCACCTACTCAGTGTTATCTAGAGTACGCACATGTATGTTCCCTCTCTTTGAAAGCACCCATCTTTCTCCGGTGTGTAAAGTCAGTACGGGCCGGATTTTTGTGTATTACGGGCCGGACTTTGTTGCATGAAAAGTAACTCTTTATCGGAAATTTTGGGAACATAAATTCGGTCCCTCTGACCCCCGGGGGGGGGGGGGGCTTTCTTCTTTATCTTTTCTGTTCTCTTTTCTTTTCTCTTCTTTTTTCCTTTCTTTTTTCCTTTCTTTTTTCCTTTCTTTTCTCTTCTCCTTTTTTTTTCTCCTCTTCTCCTTTCTTTTTTCTCTTCTTTTCTTCCTCTCTTTTTTTCTTTCTTTTTTTTGCGCCGCCAATAGGGGGGGGGGGGGCGCGGCCGTTTCGGCCCCTCCCTGGATCCGCCACCGGAGTGTGTTTTAAAAGCTTTTACTCAGATGTTTTTTAGAAAACGAGTGGCATGGGTTTCATAACACTCGATTGAAGACAGAAAATAGGAGTGATTACTCCAAAAAAGGGATGGGTGGCAGCTATGTAAAACGCCACGTACAATTACTCCCCGACGCTCTGCTAGATACTACTGGCAACGTCAGGCCACTTGAAGCTCGTTCTGAAGAACCCCGCACTTTTGTTTGTATCTGAACGGCATGTGAAGTTTCCAGCAGGAAGATTAATTACAGGATAAGAGGGGCGGCTGGTGACTTTCCGAAGTACCCAGTGCCAATCCGGACAAGTTGAACAGGATTCATTCCTAAAATAGGCATACAAATTAGATGGTCTTTTCTAGGAATCAAGTTAATCTTTTTGAAAGATTGATGATAAACGGGGAATAGGTGAATCAAGAATTGGGATGGTGTGAGACTTGATAGGCGATATATCATATGACATATTGAAGAAAAATGCTAAAGTTAGAGAGATGTTCTTGCCTTGGCAGAACATATGAGAGAGGGAGAGAGAGAGAGAGAGAGAGAGAGAAAGAGAGAGAGATTATATGCAATTATTTTGTATTGTGAACCCCATCCCTACCCTCTGGAAGTTTCGAGCTGTAAAAGGGCATCGAAAGCGTTTAAAAGCTGTTTACGTCACAGATGTTCTTTTTGAGCACAGGATAAGGGATGACTCGCAGTCGTTATGTT